GAAGGTATTTTGTTCTTTCTTCTATACTTTGTTTTATAAGTTATCATTTATCCCATATTGTTTCATCTTTTGTTTTTCGAACGGGATCTTATAGGTGGGGCTCTACAACCTGCAACTGAGAGAGACTCAGCTGGCTAAGGAGTGGGACCTGATCGTTGCTCAAACCTCCGCTGAGCAAAATATGGTTGCTGCTATCGCCACTCTGGAGGCCGAACGGAAAGCCTCTGCAGAGGAAAAGCAAAGGCTCCAGTCTGAGCTTGGTGAGCTTAGGGTCCAGCTCGGGGCCTTTCAACCCAAAGTTTATGCCGCTGAAGTTGCTTTGATGAGGTTTGAAGAAACCGCTCCTCGTATCCCGGACGACCCTGCCGAGGTGAATGTTGACTTGTCCGCCGTTCGGGAGGCATTCAAATCATCTGAGGAGTTTAGCGCCCTAAAAAAGGAATATGCGCAGCAGGAGCTCTCGGCCACTTTTGGTGCTTACCTTGACCAATTTCCCAAGGGTGATGCTCGCCGTAGAGAAGGGGTGAAGCTGCTTGACCGGGATCCTAGGGGTAAAAAATTCAATGACTCTCTGGCTCAATCCCTTTATATGATGGGCTGCCAGCATATCCTGGCCCCCTTCGTGACCAAGCTCCAAGAAATACTAGGGAGGCCGGTCGAGCTTGCCGATCTTCCCTCGGTCTCTATCGTTGAGCCCCAGTTCGAGAAGTACCAACGAGATCTGCAACGGGCTGCCGATCGAGAAGCAAGGAGGGATCCTGAACCCTCTACTGATTCAGATGATGACGAGGATGATGATGAAGAGGAAGGGAACAAAGAGGCCCCTGGCGAGTAGATTAGATTTAAATACTATCGTACTTTAGTGACTATAATTCCTTTCCCCCTTTTGCTTTTTTGCAAATCACCTTTGTAATTTCCGGCCAGTAGAGCCGATGAATATATCTGAAACCTTTTTTGCTCAATGCTTTATTTCTTGTCTTTATCAATTTCTTGCTTTATCAGTCGGTAATCGGTCTATTTCATAGGACTTAGTTTTTTGACTATTTCTCTATATCGCCGTTTTCTTCTAACACTTAGTTTTTGAGCATTCTCTTCTAACACTTAGTTTTGAGCATTTTCTTCTAACACTTAGTTTTTTGACCATTTCTCTGTATCACTGTTCGGGCTTCCGACAATTCACCGGACTTTTGGATTGCCGTTCGGGCTTCAGACAGTTCTGTAGGACAGTTCTTTTTTGTATTTATTGTCATTTGGATTGCCGTTCGGGCTGCAGAAAGTTCTGTAGGACTTAGTCGTTTTTCGAACTTTTTTTTCCTGATGTTCCTTCTATGCCACATAATTGTTAGTAGAAACCCTGTTCGGTTTGTTTACTGCCCATATCTAACAAGTATAGACACTACTGTTCGGTTGGGCTTTCGGATCCTGTACCTCTGTTGTTTTTATATCATCTTTGAATCGATTAGATATACTTGCCCCTAGTGAAATATTACCCGTTCGGGATGTCTCTTGATATGTTCATCGTTTGGTGTCTCTAAGATGGCTTCCTCAAAACTGCTTACCCGTTCCTCATGAATCACTTAGTGATCGTTCGAGGAACGTGCTGGATTACCATAAATGTGCCATAATCTCGCGCAACCACATTTTGCCACATGTTCTTCATGGGTTAGGATTTTGGGCGATATCTTTACTTATAAATAGAGGTGCTTCTTCTTCATTTTTTATGTTGCTTCTTTAATCTTCTCTTGGCTTTCTTTAAACTTTCTCTCTCTAGAGTTCTTAGGCTCCCTTCAATTACCAGTGCCCTTTTATGTTCTTCTCCCCCAGCTCAGAATCTGAAGAAATGCCGCTTATTCGTAGAGGAAAAACTCCCGATGTTAACAAAGCCGAGGGCTCATCTTCCCAAGCACCAGTTTCTACTAATCTTCCCGTATCCAAAGATGCCGAACAGCCTCTAGATGACGGATGTCTTTCGGGAGACGATGTTAAAATATATAACAAGGGAATGCCCGAACGGCCACCTCGCATTCCTTTGCATTTTTCCCGCATTCGCAAACAAAGGCAACGTCTTCCTGAGGACGCCGAATGGAAAATTCGCCAACTTTTGCCTCCACCTAGGGAATTTTATGCTGGATTCATCAGGCATCCCATGAGGCACCGACCGAGGCACGTGCTTGTGCATTTGGATGCCTTGATTGTTGGGCTTCGCTTCCCTCTGCATCCGTTCATTGTGGAATTCTTGCACCGGGTCTCCGTACTTCCCACTCAGTTCATACCCAGCACCTACCGCATTCTGTCTGGCTTCATAATTCGATGCCAAGAACTGAAGATCGTACCAAGTGTCGATCTATTCCTGTATCATTACTGTTACCAACCCTACTGGACTACTGGGTATCTGAAGTTGGTAGCTCGGGTTGATCGTCAGCTGTTCACGGAAAACCCTACACCTCCGGCTGATTGGGAAGAACAGTTCCTCTTTATCTGTGTGGGTGTTTCACTCCCATTCCCTGATCGGTGGAACGCTTACCCTGTTCGGGACTCTGAGCCCAGATTAGACGTCGTTCTGCGTTCTCAAGCTGAATCTTTGCGTCTGGGAGGATCTCGGAGCCTTCGGGGTTTTATTACTCCCTCCAAGATGTTAGCTGCTGGGATCGGTAAGTTCATTTATTTTAACCCGATCGATCTTCGTTCATCTCTGTTTCTTATCTCTTATTTTCTCCTTTGTAGGTGAGATATCCCTTACTCCCGTTCGGCATACCATATCTGCTACGACCCCGTCTGCCTCTGCTTGGAAAGGCAAGGAAAAGATGGTTTGCGAGGGTCAGACGAACTCTGATCAAGCTCGGAAAAGACGGAGAGGGAATGATAGCAGCACACTTATCCCGATCGACCATGTGGTTGATTTTACCGGTCCAGATGTTGAGCCGAAAAACCCTGTCATTCCTCCACAACTCAAGAATCCAGTTCTTAATAACATACCGGTCGATGATCGGATGTTTATAGAATTTTCCAATATGGGACCTCGTGGAGAGGGACGATATCTGTTCGGGCAGATGCCATCTTCTATGTGGTGCAGTACATCCCTGAAGGTTCCCCCGAGCTTCTCCAATATAACCCATTGGTCAGATCTCGTTGAGGCAGGTCACCTGGAGGCTCTCAAGGTATAGATCCTTCAAAATTTCTGTTTGTTTACATATTCTTAGATGGATCTTATCTGACTTTTTTTGCCATTGTTGATAGGCCGGAGTATACTATCACCGGGCTTTCCTGGCCACCGAGCAGGAGATGAAATGTATAGCCAGTGATCGAGATGATAGTCAGACGCTTCTATCCGCCGCTCGCAAGCTGATCACTGATATGCAGGATCGCCTCAAACAGGGTGAGAGGGCGATGGCCGAACTGGCTGAGATGGAAGAGAGGATCCGGTGTCGTGATCGGGAGCTGAGAGATCTCAGGGCCAAGGTAAAAACGGCCGAGACTGCTGGCATGGTATTTGAGAGGGTCCAGGGAGAAAATCCTCTCTCTCGTTACATTGTCGATACGTCGAAGATCACCACCCAGGCGGTGATTGACTATCAACGAGGGAAAGGACTGGATGTCACTTTGCAGAACACCGCCCGACAGTTCTTGGGGCCCCACATTGGCCAATTCCTTCGTGAGAGCGAGGATCCAATCAAGGCAGGGATCGAGCTTTTAGATAGCACGCCCGAAGGGAAGTCTTTCTTGGATGTCCTGACGGAGAAGACTATGAAGCAAAGTCAAGATCTGCTTCTAGACAGGAAACCTTGATCTGATCTTGGAGCATTTCCCCAAACCATTCGATCCTGATGAGTTGGGGTTTGATGACCTGTTCGGGAATACTTATGATCGGGTCATGGAGATGACACTAGTGCAAAATCGTTAATCAGAGGCGCTTCAAATGGCTCACGTGCGGCGCTTTGAAGCGCCTCTAAAAAATGTGCCGCAAATCTCAATTGGAGGCGCTTTTTAGACTGGAAGCGCCTCTAATATTTAAAAAAAATCGGAATTTTGCGGCGCTTCTTACAGAAAAAGCGCCGCACGCGTGAGTGAAACAGAGGGGCTTCTGATGGGTTTTTTTATTTAGAGGCGCTTCTGACGAAAAAAGCGCCTCCAAAATGTGCTACGTAAAATGAATTAGAGGCGCTTCTAACCTTAAAAACGCCTCCAAACTCGGCTCCGTATTCTGTTTTAGAGGCGCTTTTTTCATAAAAAGCGCCTCCAAATTTTATTATTATTTTTTATATTTTTTTTTAAAATACTATATAACCTGTTTTATTTACAGATCCATTGTCAACCAAAAAAACACATTCATTCATTCATAAAACCAGAATAACGATAAAATCGTTTCGCACAAATACAATTCAAAAGGTACAAATTTGTATCACAATATAATAAAACTACATTCAAGTTTGGCTCAGTTCTAATGTCATAACACTTCATCTACAAAAAACCTAGCCCATACTTTTCTAATGTCATCAAACTCCTCCGTTGTATATGGCTCAGTTCTTGAATTCCAAACCTGAAAATAATCATAAAAATATAGATAAAATAAGTAATGACAAACTAAATTATACTATCGTATATAAGTTAAATGATTTAATGAAATCCACCTATTGAAGTATATATAATTTAAATACCTGTGCAATATCTGAACTTCCAACAGAAGTTATTATTTCCCAAATAAACTTCATCACATAATATCCACATTCTGTGTTGCCCGTTTGTCTTGCACACTATATATTAGATGACAAATATACATTATTATTTTATAATATGATTTTTTACATTAAAGCATAACTTATGTAAATAAGAGAAGATATATGATGAAAGTACCTTCATATTATGCCATTTGATCGGCTTGCCACGACCCTTTTGTGTAGACGCAACTCTATACATCCTATAATGATAATTAAGCTCAATGTATATATATATATATATATATATATATATATATATATATATATATATATATATATATATATGCTCAATGTTGACATACAAGTATAAATGTTAAATATAAATGTTAAATATCACAACTAAATCATTAAAAATACATACATCGTAAGATCTTTTTGAATAGCAATATTGGAATAACTTGGCAATGAATTGAAAATATAGCCCTTATCAACCTTTGGACAAATTACAAACAAAACCCAATGATACCTATATTTCTAAAGAGAATAGAAAATGGGTTAATATTTCATATGTCACGATCAATAAATATAATATGTAAAAGTGAATGTAATATATGAATCATACCCTTCATTATATGCCAAGAGAATGATATTCTTTTCAAACATTTCACTTAGAGCATGCTTCATGTAAGTCAGTGTGCCCTTTTTATCCAATTGATAATACTTAAAAGAACAAATCCAAGGACACAAAAGACCCACATCATCATGACCAAACTCAATCAGTTTTGCATTTACACAACTACATGCATGTGAAATTATAATATTAATAATTAGTCAATAGTAATTAAGTCTAACAAATATTCAAGAGTGCTTGTAAACTTATTATAATACTTACAACATAAAGGTCTGAATAATTGAAAGATCAACAGAATCACTCTCAAGAAATTGACTCAAGTCTTCACGGTCAACAACGGTCCCAAATTGTTTATCATCAATATAACAGAACAACTCCGCAGGAAGAGGAATATAAAATTTACAAAGATCGGGCTCATACCACTCAAGATTTTCATGCAATCTTAAAAGATCATCTGTAAGTGAATGAAGAACAGTTTCACTGACCAATGAATGTGAGCTGGGTTCAACCGTTACTTTTGGTGAATCTCTCACGATAAAGGGTACTTTGTTCTTAGCTCCATCCTTCTTTTTTTACTTAGACGGTGGTTCCTAAAATAATTATTACATAAAAATGTATGAAAGAATTTCATATCGAAATAAGCAACAAAAGTAAAAAATATGAAACAATAACTTCATTACCTCTCCCTCAAAAAAAACCAAATGAGATGGCCATTGAACATATGAACCTACAGCGTCTGCTACAACATTCATATCAGCGGCTTCATTAGGATAAAGCAATGGACAGTCTTCAAACTCTCGATATGCCATACATATGTTCACTTTGATTGTGTTTTCACACATCGGTACATTATGGATTAACGACCCAACAGGCGTGTTGTTGGCTACAGCCATGACCACAAAGTCCAAACTCTTATCACCAGGATAAGTGTGTGACTCAACAGCAAGCCTACAAGATGCACCATCCTGCATGTATGTATGTACACATACAAATGAAAAATAAAATATTTTCTACATAAATAATTAATAAAATGTTACTTACAATGAATGTTTTTTTAAGATGGGGTGCATCAGAGTTCATAGTATCCACGTGGGCCGCCTCGGAAGCAGGCATTGAATCCCCGATAGGCACTTCACTTCTTGGAACAAAGTAATGTTGCATGTCTTTCATCAAACGCTCTTGCAACTGCTTTAGGTCAACATCACTCAAATTACCAACCTTATCTCGATGTGTGCTTCTCGACTCTCGATCAAAGACATGTGTATAACCCACACCACCACCGACGCCACGTGCACGTCCAGGGTAATCAGGCTTCCCAACAACCTCCGTCAATATATCATGTCGACCGCTTGGCTTCCACGTTCCTGCTGCTACATCTTCTTGAAGTTTATCCTAGTACAGAAGCAATAGAATTTAATGTTAAAAAATAAACATGATTTAATAATATGATCATACATATACTAACTATAACTTACCAACTTCTCTTTTTTCTCGCGCATGCCCTCAGTATTACCAGGAAACACGATGTGACCATCCGCTGTTAATCCAGACCTTGCACAAAACCAAGTGACATGTCTTGGAATATCACCAGAAGTGGTTGTGCTAGAGTTCGTTGAATCTACTTCTGAACCGGTAAGAAACTGATCTAATAATCCTTGCTCTTTCCATTTCGGTATGGAAAGAACATATCCTGAACGACCCATATGAGGAGGATAGATATTATGAAGTGAAGCTTGTTTATTCTTCTCGCTCAAAGCCTATTCAATGTTTCATAAATATTAAACAACTACTTAATTAAAATATTGAAATTTTTTAATTCTATGACATACCACAAACTCAGGAGTCATAGTCTTTGCCACGAAACTATCCCACTCTTCTTTGGTAAGTTGGTCTTTATACTTCTCAAAAGCTTCCCCACAATCCTTTCCCACTTGACGAGTCTTATTTATGAAACCTGATCGCAATCGATTTCTCCAATCTCGGTGCATTTTGCCCAACTTTTTCAATAATGGTTTTTTCATATTATCCTCCACAGCATAGTCATGCTGCATGATAACATCAAAAATAAAGTGTTAGCGTATATTATATAGTGAAATGAATATAAATATTTCGGCTAATAAAATTGGAGATTTTGTAGGTACCTGTATCCTGGGTTATTTAATCGGCGAGTACTCGGCGAGTACTCCCTACTCGGCCTATGACCTTGCAGAGTAGCACATAACTCGGTCCGAGTTAATTTCCCGAGTTACTCGCTGAGTACTCGGCGAGTTAGGCAACTCGGTCAGTGGGTCAAATAGGCGATTTACTCGGTAGTACTCGGCATTTAAAAAAAATTACATCCGCTTCTAAACCTAAACAAAACTGCGCATACAAAAAGCTGCGATTCTTCTCCCTGGAGCTGCGATTCTTCTCCCTCGAGCTGCGACTGGTACTACTACGACCTGCGATGCTGGGGGACTGCTACTGGGGAGGACCTGCGACGCTAGAACTGCAACTGCGGAGGACCTGCGAGGCTGCGACTGCTACTGCGGAAGACCTGCGACGCTGGGACTGCAACAGCAAGGACCTGCAGGTTAGTTCTTTCCCTCGTTCTTCCCTCTTGTTAAAGAATTAAATTGAGATTATTCCCCTCCCCTGTGACCCTGTCCAACCCCCTACCCTACATTTTCCCCCTCGTTTCTTATTCTGCCCAGCCCTCTACTGTCCTTCATGATAGATACACACTCACAATTTTGTTTTTCATTCACAGTCATGAACTCTGCTCAGTCTGGCCAGGCCTCTAATGGTGTTGAATCTACTGCTACCACACATAAGAGAAAATATTATGATATAGGATGAGCATGGGGAGAGAACAGAGATCCTACTAATAAATCTTTAGTGTGGTGTTTGTTTTGTGATAAGAAAATGTCTGGAGGGATTCACCGTCTTAAAGAACACCTTGCCCAAGTTAAGGGAAATGTTTCTTCTTGTAACAAGGTAACCAATGAAGTGATGAAGATAGTTGCAAAATCATTGCTTGAAAAAAATCTGACAAAGCAAAAAAAGCTAGAGTTGACTGTATCATTGAGAGGGAAAATGCTTTCCTGGATGGGGATGATGAAAGTGAGCTTGGTGATGATGGTGATGACCAAACTGAACGTGGACACACAGTTTCAACCTTTACAACTGGGCAAGGCAGTGGCACAAATTCTTCTAAGACGAGAATTAAACAATCTAATGTTAGAGGATCACTGGATACCTTACTAAAGCCCGATCATGAGAAGACGAAACAATCAACGTTGGATAAAAATAATCCAACTAAACTGAAATTAAAGGAGATAGCTTGGGATAAATTTGCAGAGTGGGGATATGAGGTCGGGTTAGCTTTTAATGCCGTTAGAACACCAAGCTTTCAGGCCTTTATTCATGCCGTTGGAGATTACGGAAGAGGTAAATAGTTCTGTAATACCCTTACTTTTTCGGCCAATAAACTGAAATTTTATTCTTCATTTCTTTTCATTTCTTTTCAAGGTATGCCAGCACCCACTTATCATCAATATCGCCATACTCTGTTAAACAAGCAACTAGTCAAAACAAAAGAATTTGTTGAATCATTCAGAGCACACTGGAAGACATACGGATGCTCTATTATGTCTGATTTCTGGACAGATGGTAAAGGAAGGGCATTGATCAACTTTTTGGTAAACTGTCCAAAAGGAACAATTTTTTTGAAGTCTGTAGACGCATCTGAGCATGTCAAAGATGCAAATCTCATTGTGGGGCTGATTAATGAGATTATTGAACATGTGGGAGAGGAGTATATAGTTCAGGTCATCTTTTTTAAATTCTAAATTTATTGTGTATAGATTAACTTATATTCATTTATTAATGAATACTAATTTCAGTTTTTTCTCATGTTAAATCTTAATAGTTCATCACTGATAATGGATCTAACTTCAAGGCAGCGGGAAGGATTTTAGAAGAACAACATCCTAAGATGTTCTGGACCCCTTGTGCTGCACATTGTGTGAACTTAATGTTGCAAGATCTTGGTGATAAGTTGCCCAAGATAAAAAGTGCTTTACGTGAAGGTAAAGCAATGGTTGTTCATATATATAACCATGGGAGGATATTGAGCCTAATGCGAAAGTTAACAAGCGGGAGGGAGTTGCATAGATCATGTGTAACCAGGTTTGCTACTGCGTTTTACACTCTTAAGAGTATTTGGGAGAATAGGTGTCATTTGCAAGTTTTATTTGTTTTTGAAAAATGGACCAAAAGTGAGTTTGCACAGAAGGCTGATGGAAAAAAAATTGCAAGAATAGTGGCGAGGCAGGGCTTTTGGGATAATGTTTATTTTACTTGTCAAGTCTTGGCTCCACTGGTTGATGTGATAAAATTGGTAGATACATAAGAGAAATCTAGTATGAGTTATATTTATGAATCTATGGATAGATCAAAAGACCAAATTGAAAAGAATCTTGGAAATGACCAATTCACCTGTGCAAAAGTATGGCAGACAATTGATAATAGATGGAATAATAAATTCCATCACGCTTTGCACGCAGGTACAAACTGTTTTTCATTTTTTTGTTACCGTAATCTTCTCTTTGTTGTCTCATAGTTTAATAAAATTCTTTATTATGAATGTTCTTTCCATTGTTTAATATTTTTACAATCTGTATAATTTAAAGTATATGTAGTTTACTTTAATATGATTTATGAGTCTTGTCACTTGTGCAGCCGGTTATTACCTAAATCCAAGCATTTTTTATAAGCATGATTTGACGAAGATGGAGTCAAACAAAGAGATAAAAGTCGGGCTCTTAGAAGCAATACAAAAGCTCGTTGATGGAGTATATGGGTCTGAGCCCCTGAACCCACGTACTCAGAAGAACAGAAAACACAAGACACCGAGTGGCGCCCACGTCGGCCAAGGGACCCCCGTCGGCCGAGAAGGTGCCAACTCAGATTATGGTCCCGAGCCCAAGGAACCCGGGTGCCCTCGTCGGCCGTGCCCTCGTCGGCCGCGCCCTCGTCGGCCACGCCCTCGTCGGCCACGAAGACTTCACAGAACCGGATTTTATACTTACTCATTTGTACAGCCCATTAGTGGCTTTGTATTCGGCCCAGTAGCGGTCCAGTTGTAAATGGGCCTCCCAAGCCTAAGGCTTGGGAGCCCAGCTCGTATTTTCTCTATAAATACTCCCCTTGGGAGTAGTTATAGGGGTTACAAATTCATTCTATTGAAGCATATTATTGCACTTCTCTCTCTAGCTCTCACTTCTCTCTAGATATACTCTATCATTTGGTGCTCTCATTGAGAGCTAGAACAATCAAGTTAGCACCCTTCGTCGATACCAAGCACAGCTAACCACTGATCATGGGAAGAACTAAATCAAACCGCAACCTCGTCAGCAAGGCCATCCCTGAGGACCAAGAGGCCAGGGAGCACGATGAGGACGCCACGGCCGACCAGGTCGGCGGGGGGGACGTCTTCCAGGAGGCCTTCAACCTCACGACGGACCTCCGCAACCAACTCAACGGCGGAGCCCCTGATGCCCGCATCGGCTTGGACAAGAAACGAGCTGAGAAGACGGACCACGCCCCGGCCCAGCCTATGGCCGCGACCTCTCCATCCGTGGATCCACAGGTCCAGGCCGCGCTGTCGGTCATCATCGCCAGCCTAGCTCAGAACCCCACCGTCCTCAGCGCACTCTTGCCAAGGACCGGGGGGAACGTCACTCCACCTCCTCAGCCCCAACCGTTGGCCGACCAGATAGGCAACGATGAGGGGGTGGTGGCCCAGGACACGGCGTCGTCCCACTCCTACCCTGTTTCCCCTCTTTGGCCTGAGCAGACCCCAGCGCGTGGAAAAGCCTCTGCCTTCAACAGGCTAGGTGACACGCGCCGTCGTCCGGTTTCGGAGAGGATGGCGGGAAAGCTTGGGGTCTGTGTCCCGGACAGCGGACCAGCCCCGCCCGGACAAGGGCAAGAGGAAGTTGCACGAAGACGACGCGTGCCACCGGATCAATGCGTCTCACGACGAGCGCATTAGGAACCAGCCGGGCGCCGCGGCGGCCGCCAAGGACCCCCGGGATGAAGTCATCGCCCAGTTGGAAAGGAGGCTGGCTCAGATGGAAGCCAAGCAGTCGGCCAACATCCCTACGGCCGGCGCCTCCAACGACCCCGACCTCAATGCGCTCATGAACAAGGTTAGCGCCCTGGAGAGGGAGCTGGCCGAGGGGTGAGGTGACCCCATCATCCAGGTCAGGACCAGGACCCCTTTCACCAACAGGGTCCTCTCGGCCCCCATCCCGTAGAAGTACAGGGGGAACGCCATCAAGTCCCACGACGGCCGATCAGACCCCCAGGAACACTTCAGCCGCTATCAGAACAACATGCTGATGGTGAACGCGTCCGACGAATACCTCTGCCGTTGGTTCCTCTCTACTCTCGAGGGGCCAGCGTACGAGTGGTTCAACGCGCTCCCCGAAGGGAGCATCGACTCATGGCAGGATCTCGCCCAACGCTTCCTCACTCACTTTGCCGGGAGGAAGCGTGCGAAGAAGTATTTCACCCACCTCCTCTCCGTCAAGCAGCAGCACGAGGAGTCCCTCCGGTCATTCATTGATCGGTGGACGAGGGAAACCGAGGAGGTCGAGGGGGCCGACGAGCGCACCCTCCTCGCCTTGTATCAGGGAGCCCTCCGCAGCTCCCCGTACGCTAGGAGCCTTATCATCGACCCTCCGAGGTCGTACGCCAAGGCGCTCCAGCGCGGAGGCTTGTACGCCGACGCCGACGAGCTCCATAATCACAAGAAAGAGGGGGGCCATCCCTCCAAGAAGACAAATCCTTCGCCGGCCCCGAGTCCATCCCCGGCCGGCCAGGGTGCCCAGGGCCGTCACGGCTCTGGTGGACAGAGTAAGAAAGATCGCCACTGGCGGCCGAGGTTGGAACGGCCGGGGGTCTCCCTCACTCACCCGGTCGGCACCATCCTCGATTATGCCGAGAAGCACGGCCTCATCGAGCAGGCTCCTCGGCCGGCCGAGGAGATCCTTGCCATCCAGCAGGGTGGCACATACTGCCGGTTCCACAAGAACTCGTCGCACAACACCGACGTTTGCATCACACTGAAGAAGGCCATCGAGCGCCTTATTCGCCAGGGGGAACTCTCCCAGTTTGTTAAAGGTGGCCCACGTAAAAACACATGGGTAAACACCGGCAAACATGGGGGCGAACCCTCTGCGAAGAAGCGGGAGATTGGTAGGCTCAGCGACGACGAGGACTTCGAAGAGCCCCCGCCAAAGAAGAATCACATTCACCTCATCGTAGGTGGGAACACTGGGGGGGACTCCGCCACTCAGAGAAAGAAATGGGCCCAATCCCTCTACATTGGGGAGGTGTCCAACGTTCCCCCCCAGCCGAAGAAGCAGCGGACGGAGGCGATCACCTTCATCGACAAGGATTTGCCTCCGGGTACGAGATCACACAGGGACACCCTCGTCATCCGGTGTGAGATCGGTGACTCCATCATCCATCGCACTTACATCGATACGGGGAGCTCCGTCAACGTGATGTACCTGATACCTTCATGCAGCTGAAGCTGGACAGAGCTCTGCTGAAGCGGATCAAGACACTGTTATCCGGCTTCACCGGGAACTCTATCGACGCCGAGGGCACGATAGTCCTCCCCGTGGAGGTCGGTGACGGCCCCCACCGCGCCAGGATTGACATGGAGTTCATGGTGGTCAACCTCCAGTGCGCCCACAACCTGATCTTGGGGCGGCCAGCGCTGGAGGACTTGGAGGCCATCATCTCCATGAAGCACTTGTGTCTGAAGTTCCCCACCAATGACGGCATCGGCTACGCCAGAGGAAACTAGAGGATAGCCAGGGCGTGCTACCTCAAATTGACGAGGCCGACCGAGAGGGAGGGCCAGAGGATAGACACCATCACGGCAGCCGTCGCCAAGGACGAGGAGAGACCACATGCGGAGCCGGCCGAGGAGGTCGAGGAAATCCCTCTGGATACCTCTCGGCCGGAGCGGGTTCTCAGAGTCGGGAAGCAACTCCCTCAGGACCAACGAGACACCATCCTCCTCGTCCTGCGGTCATACGCCGTTGTCTTCGCGTGGGGCCCGGACGACATGCCAGGTATCAGCCGCCAGGTGATCACTCACCGGCTGACCGTTGATCCGGCCTCCGCGCCCATCAAGCAGAAGCGGCGGTACTTGTCCGCCGAAAGGCGGGACTTCGTCAAAGGGGAGGTCGCCATGCTCCTCTCAATCAAACACATTAAAGAAGTGAAGTACCCAACATGGTTGGCCAACGTCGTCCTCGCCCAGAAACCGCCAACTTCAGAATGTGTGTTGATTACACTGACCTGAACAAGGCGTGCCCCATGGACCCGTTCCCTCTCCCCAACATTGATCAACTGGTGGACGAGACGACGAGGTGCGAGTTGATGTCGTTCCTCGACGCCTTCAGAGGGTACCACCAAATCTCCATGCATGAAGATGACGCTGAGAAGACGACATTCATGACCCCAGACGGAATCTTTTGCTACCTCGTCATGGCCTTCGGACTAAAAAACTCCGGCGCCACCTATACTAGGATGGTCGCCAAGATCTTCAGAGCGGTCCTTGGCCGGACGATGGAGGCATACGTCGACGACATAATCGTCAAGAGCAGGCAGGCCTCCTCCCACGCCGACGACCTCAGGGAAATCTTTGAAATCATGAAGGAGTTCAGGCTCCGCCTCAACCCCAGGAAGTGCGCCTTCGGCGTCCAGGGCGGCAAGTTCCTCGGCTACATGGTCAGCCGGAGAGGCATCGAGATAAACCCGGAGAAGACGCAGGCTATCATCAACATGGAGCCACCCCGCAACGTCAAGGAAGTGCAGCGACTGACGGGGCGCCTGGCGGCCCTGAACCGGTTCCTCTCCAGGTCAGCCGAGAGGGCACTCCCCTTCTTTCAGATCATGCGTAAGGCAAATAGCTTCAAGTGGACGACGGAGTGCCAGGAAGCATTCGAAGAATTGAAGAGGTACCTATCGTCCCCGCCCGTACTCTCCAAGCCCAAGGCCGGCGAAACCCTCTTCTTGTACTTAGGGGTGAGCACGTCGGGCATCAGCTCTGTGCTCATCCGTGAGGACGAAGGGGTGCAGAAAGCCATTTTCTACATCAGCAAGACACTCAGGGAGGCCGAGCTCAGGTACTCCCCCATTGAGAAGACGGTGCTAGCCATCGTCCACATGGTGAAGAAGCTGGGGCACTATTTCCAGGCCCACACCGTCCATGTGCTGACCCAGCAGCCTCTCGGCGCACTCATGTGGAGTCCCACCAGCTCCTCAAGGATGGTGAAATGGGTGATCTTCCTCAGCCAGTTTCAAATTGAGATCAAGCCAAGGCCATCTATCAAAGGGCAAGATTGGCCGACTTCGTCATTGAATGCACAGCAAGGGAGACGGCCGTCGCCAACCCCGGGCCGGAGCCGGACGATACATGGACCCTATTCACTGACGGCTCGTCGGCCGCGAAATCATGCGGCGGCGGCGTCCTCATATCCCCTGAAGGATTCAGAGCTTACTATGCCATCCGCTTCAACTTCAGGGTATCCAACAACGAAGCCGAGTATGAGGCCCTCCTCAGCGGTCTCAGACTCGCCGCCGGCCTCAAGGCCAAGCACCTCAAAATCAAGTGCGACTCCAAACTGGTAGTGGGCCAGGTGGAGGGATCGTACGAAGCAAAGGAAGGCCGGATGAAGCAGTACAAACAAGCAGCGGAGGAGATGCTAAGGGCGTTCGAAACCCATGAGATCACACAGATCCCAAGGGCCGAGAACGCCGAGGCCGACATCCTCTCCAAACTCAGCTCGGACACCCCGGAGCACGTCTCCCGGCTGGCCAAGATCGAGGAGTTGAGCATGTCCAACATCCATGCCAGCCCCGTCTTGTGCGTCCAACAGCGACCAGAGGACTGGATCTCCGACATCGTCACCTTCATCTCAACAGGAGAACTGCCCCCGGACGAGGAGAGGGCCAAACTTGCCAAGCTCAGGGCCCCAAGCTACACCATTGAAGATGGAAAACTCTACAAACGATCCTATAATGGCACTCTCCTCCGATGCCTCCACTAGGATGAGGCCGACGTGGCCATGGAAGAAGTTCATTGTGGTGTCTGCTCCTCGCACCGGGGCCCTTTCAGCATGTCCCGGCGTCTCGTCGTCCAGGGTTTCTTCTGGCCGACGATGGCGCGAGATTGCACGGATCTGGCCAGGAAGTGTACCACGTGCCAGGTGCTCCAGAAGGCCCCTGGTCGGCCAGCCGTCAACTACGCCCCCGTCAGCACCGCAATTCTATTCTCTAGATGGGGGATTGACCTGGTCGGCCCCCTGCCCAGAGCCGCCGGGAATAACCGCTACATCATCGTCGCCATCGACTACTTCACCAAGTGGGTCGAGGCGGAACCCCTGGCTAGCATCACGGGGGCCAGATGCCAAAAATTTGTTTACAAGAACATCATCACACGCTTCGGCGTCCCCCAGGAGATTATATCAGACAACGGCACCCAATTCGAGGCAGCCCCTTTCCAGGAGCTCCTCCGGGAGTTTGGGGTGAAGCATCGTTTCTCCTCCGTCGCCTACCCTCAGGGCAACGGGCAGGTCGAGAACGCCAACAGGACAATCATGGAGGGGCTGAAGAAGAAACTCCAGGCCGCAGGAGGTAGTTGGGTCGACGAGCTCCCCAACATCCTGTGGTGCTACAGAACCACGCCGAGGAGGGCGACAGGTGAAACGCCTTTCGCCCTGTGCTACGGCTTTGAGGAAAAGGCGCCCACGGAAGTTGCCATCCCCAGCCGACGGGTGGAACAATACGAGCCTGACGCCAACGAAGAGAACATGAAGATCGACCTACACCTGGTCGAGGAGAGGCGTGAGCAAGCTTACGTCCGAGCAGAGAACTACCGGCGTCAAGTAAAATCATACTATGACGCCAAGGTACGTTCCCGGGAATTTCAGGTGGGGGACTACGTCCTCCGCCGAAGGGAAGCAAGCTAGCCGACAGAGGGTGGCAAGCTAGCACTGAAGTTCGAAGGGCCCTAAATCGTCAGTGCCGTGGTCAGACCTGGCACCTACAAGCTTAAACGCCCGAATGGGTCCAATGTACCACGAACGTGGAATGTACACCATCTGGTGAAGTTTTATCAGTAATCCGAAAGAGGTGCAGACGGCGAAGCCCTCACCCCTTAACGGGTTACTGATTGAACGCCACCCTCGGCCTCGAGCCACTTATGAATAAAATCATGTTCCCCCTGATTTTTTCTCTGGAATTTAAAGTAAAAAACATTAGCAGGTGCCCTCATCGGCCACCTTAGAGCAAAAGGCTCAGGCATGGCCGACGGGGCCCCTTGCACTTGCAGCCTACGATCGACAAGATCAGGCGTTCCATTGTATTTTGTATCAGCGAAGGGCTCAGGCCTAGCTGAGAGAGCACATCGTCCTGGCCCCGTAAGCCTAGAAGTGAAACGCTCAGGTATGGCCGACGATGTCCCCAGGACGAGGGGCCCGCAAACGGCCCACGTCTTGAAACGGGAAGCTCACCGCGTCGTCCACGCGCCAGATCGCAGGACGACAGGCCTGAAATCATGGCCGAGGTGACAAAATCCCAAAACTCAGGGATGGGCAACGACAGCCGTTGGAAACCGACCAAAAGTCTAGCCCGCGTCATAAATAGGCGACGGGACCCGCCCTGAGATCACGGACGTTATAAACGAAGTCCGAACCGGCCGAAGGACGAGCACACCCTTCGGCCGAAGCCTGAAAGAAGGATACTCCCTGAAAATATATATATATATATATATATATATATATATATATATATATATATATATATATATATATATATATATATATATATATATATATAAGGGAAAAAGAGGGAAGCCGACGGCCGTGCACACTAGCCGGCCTCGAGCAATAAAAAAATTAAATCCCCACAACTCAGGCCCAACTAGGCCAAGTACATATCAGTTGAACACAAGTGTAGTACCACTGACAGGTAACATGGACGACACGTCCACATACCACGAGGGAATGGTCAAGGCCGAAGCATACGCCTATAAAACCCTAACCGAATCGGTTGGGTGACACGCGAGAGGTAACCTTCATCGGCCACAGCCCTTTGAAGCACCAACGCTTGGTATGAAATAAAAAATCACAATCCTGAGGATGACCTGGACGAAGCGGGCACTTATCACACCCGCGGAAGAATCAAGCAATCGAGAGACAATCCCTACTTGCCACAGCATCCCGGATGGCCGATACAGGCACTGGAACCCAGGCTGTTGACCAAGCGAACATTCTTTGGGGATTTGTTCAAGTGTTTACCAAACACTTAGAGAAAATTCTGAGAAAAAAGGTTCCTCAAGAAGGAACTATGGCTAGCCGACGAAGGTAGAGCCATCTCCTTGGAAAAGCAAGGGGCACCCTCATCGGCCACAAGCCAGACCTTGGCCAATGAAGGTAGGGCCATCTCTTAGCCGGCAGCGGTACCGCAAAGAAGGAACTGTGCCTCACATTTATACTTAGAAAAATCTCTAAGTACAAATGGAGAAACTCTAGACGAAGCGGGTACCTGTACGCTCCAAGGCCGTTAGCTACCTACGCCTTGCATGTGTACTTAGAAAAATTCTAAGTTCAAAAAGGTAAGTTCAAGGTGCCCTTATCGGCCACATCACAAGGATCCAGGCCGACCTTCCTGATCAGATCAGAAACAAGGGAACACAACGGCCACGAAAAACACTGGGCCGACAACGACAGTGGTTCAACACTTGGAAAATCTCCCAAATCATTTGCCAATAATGGGGAGAGACTCAACGCCAGGACGGAGCGGACACGACGGCCAGGGACGGAAAGGAAAGCACCCAAGTGGACTCAAAACACTTGGGAAATTTTTGAATAAATCCTAAGTGTTATGATAGTAAAGAAACGACGGCGAGGCCGACCGAGCCACCAGACCGGAAGGAAAGCAACTAAATGGACCCAAAACACTTAGGAAATTTTTAAATAAACCCTAAGTGTTATGATAGTAAAGAAACGACGAACAGGCCGACCAGGCCACCGGACAGGATGGACCACCTCACGGACGTAGCGGACACTCGCGGGTGACCCAAGTTGTAACCTTTACACTTAGACAAACTTCAGAATTGAAATGGCAAAGGGAAATAAGCATACAAGGAATTCATAGCCGAGCAGGACAACAAAAATTTTCATTTATAATCAATTCAGTACAATTGTGGGCGCTTCGGCCATTACATCAATTGGGCACAAAATGAAAAAGCTAATTACAAGGGAGCGGGGAGTAGCCGATCAAGCCTCTTGGGCACCTCCATCCGCGGCTGGCTCTTCGACGTCTTCGGCTCCCTCCTCGGCCTCAGTCTCCTGGCCGGCGGCAGCCACAGCACTGGTGGCATCGTCCAGGAAGTCAAACTCCGTGTAATCCGGCTCGCCGAGGCCGGAACTCTCAATGGGGGACTCCCACTCCGACAGAGGAAGCTTGGCCTGCTCTTCGGGATCTTTCATCAGCTTTGGAAGCTTCAAGTTCCGTCTAGCCCACCCGGATGTGTAATTCATGGCCTTCAGAGCACGAGATAGCCGCCGACACAGGAGCCTCTGCATCCGCTCCTGGCCCATGTTATAGTACACGACCATCTCCCTGCTAAAATAATCCTGGCCGGCGGGGGAGTTCATCCCCCAATTTTCAAGCCTGGCGGCCACCACTTCATAACACCAGGGGAGCCGCTCATCGGCCTTCCACCCCTCGGCCAAGAACTGCTCAACGGCCTCATCAGCAGCCTTCACAGCGGCAGCCTCGGCCTCAGCTTTCGCCTTCACGGCTTCCTCGTTTTTGCGCCGCTCGGCCTCCAGCGCCCTTTGGCTCTCCTCGAGTTTGGCCAGGGCATCGTCCCTGGCTGCAGCGGCCTCGTCGGCCCGCTGTTGCAAGGCCTTGGCATCCTCCCGGAGCTGATCCAAGCAAACGACCGCCTCATCGGCCGTGGCAGCTTTCTGCTCAAGCTCTTTCAGACGAGCTATCTCCCGGTACTGCCTCTTGTGGCTCTCCATGAGCATGAAGGCACCCTGCATAAACAAGACAAACAAAACTCGGGCAAACGATTCCACCCGGACGACGAGAAAGACGAAACATAGAAAGGAAGGAAACTTACTTGGACGAGGAGGTCCATCCCGCCTTCGTATACCTTCACGTCCCCGAGCCTCTTCAGATAGGCCCTATCTTTGGCCGGCATGGCCTGGGCCAGAACGTCGTGGCCAAGGACGACATCATCAAAAACACCCCCGCCGACGGGGTATTCCACCATCTTCTGGTAGGTGGCACCGGCAATCTCCTTGTCGGCCCTCTTCGTCCGTGGCTCCTGGACGAGAGGAAGCGATTGGGCAGCATCGCTAGGAGCAGTGAGGTCCACAACAGGACCACTTTCGTCCACACTAGGGAAGGTAAGAGTGCCGGCCTCAGTAGCCTGGGAAGGAGACGGCGCCCTCTTCGTCTTCTTGGTGACGTTCAGGCCGGCCTCAGTCAACTTCTTCTGGCTGTCAGGGGGAGGCCTCTTCTTCTTGGATTGGGCAGGCTTTTGGGCCGCACCAGCAGTAGCTCCGCCTCCCTCGGCCGCGGCACGTCTGGCCGCCTCGGCCGCCTTTGCAGCCAACTCCTCGGCCGCTTTGGCCTTGGCTATAGCCATGATGGAACGACGATCCATGACAAAATCTACACAAAGGAAAAACAACAGATTAGCAAGGCAAAAGAACAAATCATAAAGGAAGAAAGCCGAAGAAATAATTACCATCGGCCTCAGCAGGAATGCCCAAATCCGGGCCGTCGGCCTCTTCGAAGGTGGTGGTCATCCTCGACCAGAGTTGGAGATCATCCTCCTTATCGCCATACACATGGTATCTTAAGAAGCCGAGGGCGGTCATCTTGTATTCGGTGATATAATCCTTCACGCTCCTCGGCCCCCTTCCAAGAAAGCCTCCACCTGAGCGTCCAAGATAGAACTCTTCGGCGGGTCATGCAGATTGAACCTCCCGGTATGGCCGAGAGAGGGAAACTCGGTGCCACTCTCACCAAGGGATACAAAAACGAACTTGCTCTTCCACCCATGAATGGACGAAGGCAAGTCCGTGAGGCTCCTCTTCTTCGGCAGCTGTTGGAGAGTAGCATAGGCCGCACAATTTTTGTGGCTTCCTCGGCCTATCTGGTACAGATTCATGAACAGAGCCGTCGTCGGCCTGTAGCCCAGCTCCTCACAGCGGAGCAAAAACCCCACCATCAACGAATAGCTGTTCGGCGTCAGCAAGGCCGGAGGGAGCCCCACCATGTCAAGGTATTCGGTGATGAAGGGGTGAAGGGGAAACCTCAGCCCCTTGGCAAAACTCATCGGGTATACTCCAAAGTATCCCGGTAGCGGATGAAGAACATGGTCCGTCGGCCTGGGTGCCCTAACCCGCCCGAACGGCCCCACGTACATCTGGGCAACCAAGTAGTCGGCCGCGCTGCTCTCCGGCTTGATCAGGAAGATGTTTGTGAGGTCCAGGTAGGAAACGCCCGGCCCACTCTTCGGCATCCTTACTCTCTTCGGCTTATCTGCTCCCTTCACGGCAGACACCGGCCTCGGGCATGGAATAACGGCGGAAGTGGACGCCCCGTCCACCACTCGGGACGCACCTGCGTCCTCACCTTTTGAAGACGAGGCGGACTCCTCGTCCTCGACTTCGTCATCCACCGGCTCTCCGGACTTGTAAGGGCTCAAGTGTTGTATCTCCTCCTCGAACTCCTCGAGCACCTCATAGTCGAGTGACCTAATGGAGGGCTGGTCGTCGTACGGATAGTAGTCTTCGTTCAAGCTCTTCATCATAACAACTACTACGAGCCTAAGGGGAATAACTTAGGATCTAAGGGTGTTCAAGCGCCTAACACTAGATCACTAGCCTAGGAAGCAAAGTATGCAAAGTACAGAAGATGGCGATGAACACTAACCTTGAACACGAAGAACACGAAGAACAAGCTTGGGAGTTTATCTCTCTAAAAAATTGGCCAGCACTTCGATAATTCAAAATGCAAATAAGGTTTCTCGTCGGAGGGGGAGGGGTATTTATAGAACCCCCCCACCCAACGGTCACTACACGTGGCACCCTCCCAATGGCCACATCAACGGCCACCAATGGGAGGCCACCATGTCACCAACGGGCCAGGCCCAACCCACATATCAACAACCCACTGGCAAAACAGACTCTACGGCCTATACACTTGCCGGCTTCACGAGTGCCAGCAAGCGCCCACAACGTCCTATTTGCTTGCCAGGTTCACAAACGCCAACAATAAGGAGATGACAACGGCCAGGAACGTAATGAATGCCCGTAACGGCCACAGAACCAAAGGAACAAAGAACCCACAGCCATCGGCTCCTTGTCATGACCCTTGATGATAACTCTTTACAAGCGATCTGCGCACAAGGGTTCTCCCACAGGGTTACCTTGGCCAGAAAATCGCCATGAGGGTTGGATTCAGGGGCACTACGAAGAGGCCGCTTCGGCCAGGGACTCAAGCAACTCCTTCACCCCTCACACTCTTCAGCCTGAACAGTGGGGGACTGGGGGACTGCACTGGCCTCAACAAAACAAAAGGAAAAACGCAAACACAAATGTAACCATGAAGCATGGCCGCATCGTCCACGTATCACACTGCGCCTCGTCGGCCAAAGGAACATAATATCATCAGCAAACGGCCAACAGGCCACCTGAGGCAAGGACACTCATCATCCTCCGCCAACAGTTAATCATAATGGGCTCTTCGGCCAAGAACACGAAAACCAATCAACGACGGCCAAAAGGAGTGCGCGAGCACCCTCATCGGCCACCCAAAGGAAAGGACGCCATCGTCCTCAAAGCAAGGATCAACCTCAACGGCCTCATCGGCCCAAATGTAAACTTCAAACATCAACGCCCAAGAAAGGGAAAGCGCGCCTTAAACGGCCACCATTGAAGCAGGACACTCATCGTCCCCAAACGAACACATCATGAAAACAGCGCCAACGCCGCAACAGTTAACGGCCTGGAAATGCCCGCATCGGCCAGAAGCACTAAAGCACCGGAATCTACTCTCCTTCACTTCGTCTACATCTCAGCTTAGAGAGTGGGGGACTCCTGATGGAGTATATGGGTCTGAGCCCCTGGACCCACGTACTCAGAAGAACAGAAAACACAAGACACCGAGTGGCGCCCACGTCGGCCAAGGGACCCCCGTCGGCCGAGAAGGTGCCAACTCAGATTATGGTCCTGAGCCCAAGGAACCCGGGTGCCCTCGTCGGCCGTGCCCTCGTCGGCCGTGCCCTCGTCGGCCACGCCCTCGTCGGCCACGAAGACTTCACAGAACCGGATTTTATACTTACTCATTTGTACAGCCCATTAGTGGCTTTGTATTCGGCCCAGTAGCGGTCCAGTTGTAAATGGGCCTCCCAAGCCCAAGGCTTGGGAAGCCCAGCCCGTATTTTCTCTATAAATACTCCCCTTGGGAGTAGTTATAGGGGTTACAAATTCATTCTATTGAAGCATATTATTGCACTTCTCTCTCTAGCTCTCACTTCTCTCTAGATATACTCTATCACTCGTAGATGAAGATGCACTTGAGAGTATTAGCAGTTGTAAGGAATAAATGTATTTAGATTTTGATGATGCTAGGTTAATTAGAATTTGAAAGTACCCCGTTAGAAATTGTGTATTAGAATTTCTTTTGTAAGTTTTAGCTTAGTCTGTCTGCCAGAGTTCCATCTTGCCTCTACCAGAGTTGCTCACCAGAGAAGCCATCAGAAACTGGTCATCAGAAAGATACCAGAGTTGGCAACAGAGACGGACTTCAGAGATTGGACCAGAGAACCTCTTTAGACTCTGCTAAATCCACCAGATTCCGGAAGTCTTTCCAACGGTCGTTAAACTAACGGGAAATCCCCTAACGGTTACGAACCTTTCAACGGAAACATGGCACTGTACACGCATTAAATGCACATTTAATGTTGTACGTACGAAGAGATATTTAAAGCTGATGATTGACCATGCGAGTATCTTTACGCCCCCAAAATAGCAAGTCAAAGGTCCAACCGGTCAAGTCAACAGTACATGCAATTAATGAAGCTGTCTTCTACACTCCAACGGGAAGACTGCTCCCAGTATATAAGATACACTCTGAAGAACTAAGAGGATAACTTTGCGTAAAAACAACCTTCTCGAGATTAAAACTTCATTCTTAGACAAGAATAGGCTCCAGTTGGAAGATAAACTTTCCTATCCTTCATCCAACTAGAAAACTGCAAAGTTACTCAGTTCTTCAACACTTCGAAAGCTTCATATACTCATCCTTTGTGAAGAAGCAACGTTGGAGAAAACTGATTTTATATCAAACACTTCTTGAAAAAGAAGGGACGTCTCAAACTAGCTGGAGTAAGTGAAGTGGGGATACTTCAAGAGACTCAGTGAAACGAGACCAGCCATCAGGAAGCAAGACTGCATCCCGGGTGGCAACTAGACTTGAAGAAGACGAGGAGTGCTTCTTAAGATCTAGGAACTAAGGCGTTGTAAACTGTTGTTTTTGCAAGCTTAGTGGAACAGTGGATTAGAGGAACAAGTTGTTCCTTGAACCACTATAAAAACCCCGGTGTCATTTACTTTAAACTTTTAATTCCTGCACTTAAGATTCTACTGACTAACTCTTAAGGTTGGACTCTGTGTCCAGCAGATCTTCCTTCAGAGTTATCAGAAAGGCATTTTGCCTTAGCTTTCTTCTAGAGGCTACCCGGACAGAAACTTATCCGCTGCCTGGTCTAGTTCTGCCATCAGAACTTGACCATCTATGTCACCAGATTTCGACCATCTCTGATAAGTCAGACTTGACTTAGAGAAAAGTTTAAATTCCTGAACAGTCTATTCACCCCCCCTAGACTGTTCCCATTACAAACGGGACCAACAAGTGGTATCAGAGCCTCCTTGTTCGTGTAATCTTTTAGTTTACTTACTAAACAAGAGATCCACTTGTTTTAGCCTCTTTAATCTCATATTATGGATAACACTCTTTCAAAGAATCTTATGTTCTCAGTGACAAAGTTTGATGACTGGAGGATCCGCATGAAAGCTCACCTCTGCGCACTCCATGACGAAATGTGGGAAGTTCTTGATGCAGGACCTTTCACAGAGTTCACCAAGGTCAACCCTGAATACATCACTGGTAGTGGTCAACCCCAGATGATCACCAAACTACGCCATGAATGGTCCAATGAAGAGAGGAGGAAGTACAACCTTGACAACATTGCCAAGGATATCCTCTACAAAGCCATTGATGACAAGTATTTCACAAGGATCAAGAAGTGCAAATCTGCCAAGGAAATCTGGGATACTCTTACCCTGATAGGAGCTCGAGATGAGCAAGAAAAGGACAACAAACTCACTATTGCCATGAAGAAGTTTGAAGATTTCAAACTTCTACCCAAAGAATGCATAACTGAGATGTATGCACGCCTGCTCACCCTCACTGCTGAGATATCAGAACTTGGGAAGGAACTTACTCCCAAGGAGATCAACTTGAAGGTTCTCAGAGGTCTACCTTCACCATGGAAGATGAAGGTCACTGCCATGAGAGATAGCAAGGATCTCAGAACCTACAGCACTGAGAAACTCATCTCTGATCTCAAGTCTTATGAGTTTGAGATGAATGAAGAAGAGAAAGAAGAAGTTGAGGACAGAACAACTACTGCCCTCACTGCCAGCACCTCTCAGGTAAATAATTTTGACCCTTCTATTCTTTTAACTGACGAGTATATGGCGGCTTTTGCTAGGAAGTTCAGGAAATTCTTGAAGCCGAAGGATAGCAGAAGTCCACTCTCTAGCAGAAAGCCACACCAGAAGTCCAAACCATCAGAAAGTAGTGGAGAGCTTCTCTGCTACAACTGCAGACAACCAGGGCACTTCAAAGTCAACTGTCCACACCCCATTGTCTCCAAAAGGCAAGGCCAGGAAGGAGAAAAGAAATATGAGCACCGAAGAAGGAAGGCACTCATCACTGAACAACCAGAGAAGGACCCCCTCTCTGAGACAGAGTCCAGCTCGGAATCAGAATCTGATGAAGCATTCTGTTGCCTGGATACAGAGACTGAAGACCTATGCCTTATGGGTCAATCTGATGATGAGGTATCTTCTACTTCCAACTCTAGTTTTTCCTCGGTAGGCAGAGCCTTTGATTCTGATTCAATGTCAGAATTTTGGGAAGAGTTTCAAGCCATTCAAACCACTTATTCTTCGGTTAAAGAAGAAAACAGTAAGCTTAAGGTTGAAATTCTTGACTTAAGAAAGGAGGTTGAGATCAAAATCAATCTTCTAATTAAGGAAAGAGATCAGCTGGAAGCTGAAAATGTTTCTCTTCTAAAGAGAATAAGAGAGATAGAGCCTCTTGAGATTAAGTACAAAGCTTACCAGAAGGCCCAGTCTTCCATGGAAAAGATTGTACTTGATCAACAAATTGGCACTGGTTTTGGTCTTGGTTATGGCTCAACAGAATCAGGTGAGCCTTCTGTAATGCCTAGCACCAGAGTTGCTAAGGCAGACAAGGTCATAATGCCACTGATTTCTAGCCCCATTTGTCAGGCTGGTGTATCTGGCACCAAGGTTATTCATGAGAATGTCAGACCAGAAAAGGAAAAGATAAAGGTTCAACAGAAACCCATTTTAAAAATTAATGAACCTGGCAGAAAACCTGACAACAGAAAAGGTTTTCAGAATTCCAAAAATCAAAGACAAACCCATAACAGACAAACTCATGATAATCGTGTCAGAGATGATCACCAGAAAGGCAGATATCAAGAGAAAGTTAACTTTAGGCAGAAAAGGT